TGTGTGGGCCATCTAGTTAGCAAGGCAATGAGGTCTGCGCCACGTGTCCTGTAGCTGCCCTGCCTCCCGGTGCCGGAGGCCAGAGGCGCGTTTCCTGCCCCCACAGCCAGCACCCCTCTTCCCGTAGGAGGGCTCGGGGAGAGGGAACGGCGGCTGGGAGAGGAGTCTTCAGCGGGCAGAGCCCCGAGGCTGAGCCTACCGGACAGCTGCAGGTGGGCAGGCGAGGGCAGACGTCAGAATGTGTGGTCTTGGCTCGGAGGTCCCTGTGGCTGGAGCTGAGGGAGCCTCCGGTGCAGCCAGCAAGTGTGAGTCGCCAGGCCCTCAGGGCGGGATGCTGGGGGCCCCCCCGGCAGGTCCTCCTCAGCCCGAGGGCAGGGCAGGACTCAGGGTCCTTCACCCTTCTGGGTTCCTGGTCTCCCAGTGCCACCTGACGGTCTTCACGTGGCATCTTTCCCGCACGATTAGTCAGTCAGTGGAGGGTTTTTCTCAGGGGAGTCCGGGCAAGGCCGATCTACCTGCTTCTTTCATAGCATTGGCTTCCACCTGCCACCTTAGGTGGCCTCTCCGTGTTCTGTGCGTGGCGGGTGGGCCCTCAGCTGGCTGAACATGATGCCTAGGCTTACGGACTGGCCCACGATGGCAGGTGTGTGCGTGTGTGGGGGGGTCTGGGACCTGCAGCTGGCTTAATTGAGAGCAGATGTGAGTGCGTTGCCCTGTGTCCAGCTGGCAGACCTTCTCCGTGCCTGTCCTTGAGCATGGCTGGGAAACAGAAAGTCTTCCCAGTGACAGACGTGATGGGGCAGGTCACTCTACGCAGACGGACGGCTCTGCTCTCGGCCACGTGGGCTTCCTGAGCCCCACGCTGCCCTTCACCGTGTCGCGTGTGCTCCGCCCTCCCCCCTCCCCACGTCTGGAGACCCCACCAGCCTTCACAGCCCTGTCTGCCTGCCCCCTCCACCCCAAGCCTCCCGCTGCCTGCCCTCAGGGGAGCCGGTCTCCCTTGGCCCATGTCTCCTCCCAGCAGGCCGGGGCCTGAGACCCCGATGGGTTGACATCTGAGGACCAGGTCTGCAGCATCACGTGACAGAGAAACAGAGTGGGAGAAGCTGGTCAGAAGTGCAGCGGACGGCTGGGTGCTGTCCGTCCATTCAGACCCCCAGAACAGGAAGGTCCACGCGTTCCCGGTGGCACAGAGCCAGGAGAACAGGGAGGGGGCTCCCCGTGAAGCGTGGGGGAGACCTGGATCATTCACACCTCTGGTCAGCCCACTGAGTTCTGGAGTTCTCGGGGTGTGCAGTGAAGAGAGCGGGGAAGACCCGCCCTGGGGGCTTACGTTCAAATGGGGGCCAGCCTGGGAGTCGGCGTTTGAACAACCTCTTATGCCGAAGTCACGGGAGCCGCGGAAGTTGGGGAGCGGGCATGCCGGGGGGGCGAGTGCCAAGGCCCGAGGCAGGGACATGGCGCTCGGTTTGGGGCAAGAGGGCCGGGTGGAGGGGACGCTGAGAGGGCGGAGGGGACGCTGAGAGGGTGGAGGGGACGCTGAGAGGGTGGAGGGGACGCTGAGAGGGTGGAGGGGCGCGGCAGGCCCGGCGCCTCGGAGTCGTGGCCGAGCGTGTGCACTTTGTCCTTCACGTCTTGGGAAGCCACGGGGGACACGGTGTGGCCCGATGGGTTCTGTGGTCAGCAGCTCCGTCTGCTGCTCTGCGGGGTGTGGAGTATTTGGCTTACAGGGAGACCCGCCGGGAGACGGTCACAGCGGACTGGCACTGGGCCGGGTGGTGGCAGTGAGCCTAGGGGGAGGGGCTGGAGCCGGCTCTCTGTGGCTGCTTCGGGGCGATGGCATTCGGAGCCACAGCTGTCGCCACGACTCTAGGACCGGCCGCGGGGCGCGCGACGTTTCAGAAGCTCGTGTCGTAGGGGCAGAGCCAGGCCGGCGCCGCCCGTCACAGACCCGCGTGGACACGCGCTTTCCGCCGCTTCCGCCGCTCTGCCTCTTCAAAGGCTTTTCCGTCTCATGCTTGAGCTACCTGTCCCTTTATATTTACGTGTCACCGCGATGAAAGTCTTAAAAATGTACTTTCCAGGTTATCAAGAGAGACTGAGTAGAGTGAAATCTAAATAATTCGAACCAAGTGATAGCTTTCCTTGATTAATAGGCGCTCTGAAATCTAAATTTTCCCCCACAGTAACATGAACGCGCTCTTGGGCGGTGTGTTGTCGTCGAGGCGGACAGCGGGCTTCCAGCAGGCGGGGGAGGCCGGGGCCCTGCACCGTGGCCTGGACGGTGGCGTCGGGGTGCTTGCTGGACCCTCGCTCCCGCGTAGACAGTGCTGCCCACGTGCTAGAGCTCCGTGTGCTTGCTGACCGACGAGCGTGGCCGCCGCCTCTCTCGCCTGCTCAGCCTCTGCAGGCGGATTTGCCCAGGAGTGCTTTCCTCAGCAACCCAGTCCACTCCGGACTCTGCACGAGCGAGGCCGGCCCGTGGAGGCTTGTGCTTCAGGACCGAGTCAGGAGCCCGGAATCACGGCCAACAGTCTGTCCTGGGTGCCTGCAGGGCGGCGAGCTGGTGGCCCTCTCGTCATTCTTCGCTGGGTAAAGTGAAGCTGGTAAGATGCCTGGTCCCAAATACCACGGTCTCTGCGGCCTTCCTTGTGCGCAGGTGGCCGGGCGGGGCCGTGGCTGCCGCGTTTCTGCCTCACGGTGAGCAGGCTGGGGCTGAGGGGAGGGTCCCCCCGCCCCGGGACCTGCCTCCTGGTCTGTCCTCACGGGCTGTCTGCGGTGCTGCCCACGGCGCTGGCTTCGAGCGCATCCTTTAGCTTCAGGGAGGGTGATGGTGCCCAGTGTGGAGCGTCGTCATCCACTGAGCGTTGGCATATGCGAACGCTCCACAGTTGAGTGATTTTGGTCTTTCGGTCATGTTTATTCAGCTCCTTCTAGAAAACTGTTGACTTAAAATGAAAAATGTGTCTGAACACCTCCACGTGAATGTTTTAGTCGTTCAGCAAACGTTTATTGGGTGCCCACTGTTACAGGTGCCAGCCTGGTCCGGTCATCCCTCACGAGCGACCCCAGTGCATCCTATCCTTAGGTGGGAATCGGGCTGCGGCCACTGGTCGGCTGAGGGCCCCGGGTTGAGAGATCGTCCCTCCTGGGCCCCAGGCCCCTCACTCTAGAAGCCGGGTGGTAGTGACGGGCAGGGCGGACCCAGAATACCGGCTCCGCGGTACTTAGGGATGTCGGGATGAAAACAGTGGTGTTTGCGAGGTCGGCGCGTTTGAGGGTGACGTAACCCATCCTTTGTCTGAGCCCTCATCAGGCCTGCACGGGGGGCCTTGTTAGTGTGAGGCGGGGGCAGCAGGGAGGTGGCGGGGGCAGGGAGCCACGCCCAGGCTGGAGCAGGGGCGGCTGGCTGGGCGGCTGGCCCCAAGGGAGGCTCTGCGGGACCCTCCGCCTGGGGAGAAAGTTCCCGCAGCAGGAGATGGTCGTCGGCTCACGGGGGGTTGGGGGGCTTCGGCAGCAGTCTCCACGGGGGCAGTGCTTGCGGTGAATCCGACAGGTAGGCGAGTAAGCGAGGGACAGGCTTTCTCAGCAGTGGGCGTGGTAGCAGGTGACAGCCTGGTGGGCTCAGAGAAGGTGCTGTAGCTCAGTCTGGTCGAATGTGGGTGCTGGGTTGGGGGGGCACAGGCAGGGCACGGACCAGGGGAGGCCAGGGTGTGGTGCTGCACACTCGGGGCTCCGTGGGTGGGGGGCGGAGGCCGGTACCCCATGCGTGTGCGCGGGGTCGGGTGATGGAGTCGTGTGCACCTTGGCGAAGTAGCTTTCCGAGTACAGAGGAAGGGGCCATTGTACGTGGGTGCCGTGAGCAAAGAGAAGAGGCTGAGGAGTGACCCCCGTGTATGGCCGGGACAGTGAGTGACGGTGGGCGTGCGTGTGATGGGAGGGATGCGTGTGTCTCCTGGATGGTGATTACTTCCCAGTGACTAAAAGATCAGCTTAGAAAAACCACACCTGAGTTCAGAGATGCAGAGCACAGATTGGTGGTTGTCGGATGCGAGGGGAGGGTCGGGGGGAGGGGTGAAGAGGGTCAGAAGGAAATAAGTCCTGGGGATACGATGTGCAGCTGGCTACTCTAGGTAACGGTACTGCTGTGCGTATTTGAAAGCTGCTGAGAGAGTAGATCTTAAAAATCCTTATTACAAGAAAACATTTGTAACTGTGTGGCAAAAATGTTCACTAGGCATATTATGGTGGTCATTTCCCAATATGTCCAGGTATCTAATTGTTACGTTGTACACTCAAAACTAACATAATGTAATATGTCAATTACACTTCAATTAAAAAAAGTCTATTTACCTTACAAGGGAAATTTAGAGCATTCATCTATGTATCCACTCACCCATTCATCCGTCCATGCACCCATCCCTCCATCCACCCATCCCCCATCTATCCATCCACCCACCCACCTATCCCCCACTCATCCTCCCACCCATTCGTCCATCCGTGCATGCATCCACTCATCCACCCACCCACCCATCCATCCACGCACCCATCTCTCCATCCATGCACGCATTCAGTCCTGTATCCATCCACCCACTTGCCCGTCCCTCTGCCTTCCCTCCCTCCGGCCCTCCTTCCCTCTCTTCCTCCATCCCTTGAGAGACCAGGTGTTGCTGTGCTGCCTGACCAGGTCCCAGGCAGCCATATGCAGGCGCTGCCCGAGGGCCTGGCAGAGCAGCGAGTCCGTGTGGTGGGAGCCAGCTTGTGGGGCAGGACGGAGCCCAGAAGTTGCCGAAATGGTGCATGTTGCTTGTGCGTCAATAAAAAAATAAGATAATTGGAATTTTATGAAAAAGTTAAACAACAAATGATATTTGTTTGTAATTGTATTTTAATGTTAGCGACAGTGAAAAATACCCACATTTTAAGTAAAAGAGTGCATGCATTTTAAAGTTTCTGATGTGTTTACTTTTCTCCTTACCACGTGTTCAATTTTCTTTCAGATTTTTGAAAGGATATTGTTTATATGGGCGATACGCCACCCCGCCAGTGGATATGTTCAGGGGATAAATGACCTTGTCACTCCTTTCTTCGTGGTCTTCATCTGCGAACACATAGGTAAGATCTCACCACATTAACTGTGAACTTTAGTGACCTCACTCTGCATAATTCTACCAATATTGAAAATTGCCGTCGAGTTTAATATGATTAATGGTAGCTAATAATAGAGAGTAATAGTGTTCTCATTGGTGTCAGCTTTAAAAAAGTCTTTAAATCCATGCGCCCCACTGCTGAAGTCATCGAGATGCAGTTATTATTATTATGAATATCTTGCTTTTAATAATACGTGAGGAGCACTGTATTCGGGGTATAGCTTTATTCTAATGGCCGACAGCACTGGCTCTACCGGTTCAGGTCTGAATGGCTAAGGTTAAGGTAATAGAATATTAGCCGAATGTTTTGCTTACAGGATAAAAACGGAATCATCTTTAATTGCATTTCTGCAGCATTTCATCACCTTTCTGCTTTCGATGCACGAGTAACATTTCGTTTTATGGGAATATTAATTACATGGAAAGTAATTGGTTTAATGGAGGTGTGGGTTGGGTTGTGCTGTTTCTCTTTATTGCCTGTTTTTTTTCCCCTATTTATGTTACGACAGCCAAGTGTAATATAACTTCCTGTTTTGAACATAATTTATGTTTAAAAAAAAATGCCGATAACGTAAGTGGCGCTTCTCCTCCTGATCCGGGTGTGAATAGAGTAACCAGCAGGGGCGGGCTCCACGCTGCGGCGTGGTGTGTCAGCGGCTTTCGCATGAACCTCCCCGACGTGGCATTTGTGCGCTCAGCATCGCGGCCCGCAGTCCGCCGCGGGTTGCAAGCCCTGCAGTGGGCAGAGAGGGGGCGTCCTGTCCTGCAGGACCGGGTCGCCGGTCAGTGCGTTTGTCACCGCCCCTCCCATGCTTCGCTTCCCACAGCGCTGTCGGGGTGGTCTCCTCGTTGCTGAGCAACCGCGGAGCCCACACACTCACGCCCTGACCGCCGCTGGCCTGGGGGGCCCGTGCCGCTGTGCCCCTCGCTCCGTGGCCGGACGGAACATGGAAATGCCTGTGCTGATCCCGGACGGCGGGACCGGGCCGTGGGCGGCAGGGTTGTTAATTGAAAGAAGTTCGACTGGGTGTGATTAGAGAATTGACCTTCCAAGTTAAATAGACCATTTAATGAACATGGTGAATAAGTTTGTCTTGACTGCTGCACCACCAGCTGGCGTGCTGAGGCCCCTCGAGCCGGCGCGAGCAGGAAGCCGCGCAGGGAGTGGGCACGGCGCTCGTTGTCCAGACGGGCGAGCTGCCGGGGGAATGGGAGGCCAGTGGGCCTGCGGCCGGAGGCAGGGTGGCGCTGGGGGCCGTGGGTGCTGCTGCCCTGGGCGTCCTGTGCGTGCCGCTGCTCCCTGGGGGGTGGCGGAGGGTGGTGCGCAGCCCTGTCGCTCGTCAGTGCGTCCAGCTCCACAAGGTGCGATTGCATTTGGCTTGAGGACCTGAAAATGGGGGCCATTCTGTCTGGGGGTGCATGACTCGCTCTGCGCGGGAGTCTGGACGCCAGCAGTTCAGGCCGATGCCCTGCCCTCGGGGGATGCCGCTTAGAGCGTGTGTCAGGCGTGCCGCGTGTCCGGGGGATGCTGCTTAGAGCATGTGTCAGGCGTGCCGGGGCCTCGTGGACCTGGGGTGGGGGCGAAATGCATCTGCCCCCTCTCCTCGGTCACTGTGATGCCTGAGCGAGGGAATCCCTGCGCTTAGAGCGTGTGTCAGGTGTGCTGCGTGTCCGGGGGATGCCGCTTAGAGCGTGTGTCAGGCGTGCCGCGTGTCCGGGGGATGCTGCTTAGAGCATGTGTCAGGCGTGCCGCGTGTCCGGGGGATGCCGCTTAGAGCGTGTGTCAGGCGTGCTGCGTGTCCGGGGGATACTGCTTAGAGCGTGTGTCAGATGTGCTGCTTGTCCGGGGGATGCTGCCATTGATCTCCTCGGTCACTGTGATGCCTGAGCGAGGGAATCCATGCGCTCAGAGCGTGTGTCAGGCGTGCTGCGTGTCTGGGGGATGCTGCCGTTGACGCTGTGGTCCTTGCACTGCGTCTCTTTGTCATCTCAGCCGGTGGCTTTTCTGTACTTTAAGTGGCAGCACTGTGTACCCCCTTAGGGTCCATGTCCTAGGTAAGGAAGGAGGGAGTGGGGCACAGGGCCAGGGCCACATGGCCTGTCAGCTGAGCGCGCCCATCACGTAAGCCGCCCGACTTCCCGTCCCCGCCCTCCCCGCCCCCACGGAAGAGCAGGGCGCCTGCTGCCATCTGGGGCAGAGGAGCCTGGCCGAGGGGCGCGCGTGCCCGGGGCACAGTGGCGGGTCGTGGGGAGGAAGCGGGGAGAAGCGGATCTAGAGGCAGGGAAAAGGTGTCCCGGAAATCAAGGAGGGGGTGGCCAGTAGGGTTCAGTGCCACAGACGAGCAGACTGGACATCGCCCAGAGGTTTTGACATTGAGCGTGTTTTTGGTGACCTGCCAAACGTGGGCCGAAGAATGGTGGCAGGTCACGTGTGACGTGAGCTGAATGCCCCTCCTGCGGGAATGGCAGAATGGGATTCCTTCACGGGGAGGTGTGGACGAAGCGGTCCGCAGGCTCTCACAGCCTCCCTGAACCCGCTGTTTTATTGGGGTGTCATTGACGTGCGACGTCATGTTAGTTTCAGGTGTACAGCGTGATGAATGATTCGATATGTGTATACGTTGCAAATCGCTCACCACAGTAAATCTAGTTAACATCTGTCACCACAGATAGTTTTTTTCTCGTGATGAGACTTTGAAAGATCTGTTTTCTTAGCCACTCTCAAATGTGCAGCACTTGTTAACCGATTGTTAGGCACAGTCGCCATGCTGATCGTCACAGCGTCAGGCCTGCCTTCTTCTACCACTGGACATTTGTGCCTTGTGACTCCTTTCGCCCACCCCCCCAACTCTATCCTGAAGAACTTTTTAATGGAAAGTTTTCCCATAGGAGGTTAACGGGGTCACACAATGAAGCCCAGCGACCACCGTCTGGCTTCGGGGACAGTCGGCGTCCTGCTGCTTTCGTTCCCTCGGTTTCCTGCCCACTCCTGACCTCTGTCAGTGGCAACTATCACTCCTTTTTAAAAAGCTTCATTGAGATGTAATTTTCATACCCTAAAACTCACCAAGTTTGAGTGAAAAATTCAGTGGTTTTTAGAAGAGTCACACAGTACTGTAACCATCACCCCAATTTAATTCTGTAATGTTTTCTTCATCCTAAAAAGAAACCATAGACCCCCCCCCGAGTAGTGGTCACTCCCCCTGTGTCCCCCGCCCCCCGCTGGCCCCAGGCACCCACTGATCTGCTGTCTGTCGACTCGCCCCTTCTGGGTGGTTGCTGACATGCGAGGCCTCATTCACTGTGGGGTCATTCATACAGCATGCCCAGGGCCTGTCGTGGGGTGGCATATGTCAGGACTTCACCTCGTTATGGCCAAATAATGTTTCATGATGTAGGTGCCCCACGTTTCATTGATCCATTGATGGACACTTGGTTTTTTCCTGCTTTTTGGTTATTATGAATAATGCTGCTGTGAACCTTTGTGTACAGGTTTTAGCATGACGTGTTAGCATGTCATTTGTCTGGGGCACACACCTAAGAGGGGCATTGCTGGGTCACATGTGACTAACATTCTGGGGAGCTGCAGACTCTTTTCCAGAGTGGCTGCGAATTGACAACCTCACCAGCAGTGCAGGAGGGTTCCGGCTTCGCCACATCCTCGCCAACGCGTGTCGTGCGTTTGACTTTTTAAATGCGGAAAAAGGTGTCCGTATCCCTTATAACGCGATGCCGTGATTCAGGCCTGCCTTGCTGCTGACGTGTGTCACGTTTTCTCTTCCTTCTCTTTGTCTCCCTGGGGACCACAGCCCCTGAAGCTGGCACGGTGTCTTTCCCACATGTCGTACTATGCACAGAGTGGTAGCTCGGTGCCCCCGCCGAATCAGGTCCCTCTGGAAGGTGGCCACATGAGCTGCGTGGTTGGACCGCTGGCCTTTAAATGCCTTTAATGGAAACACTTGCCCCGCAGAGACGCTGGGAAGGATAGACCGCGAAGCGGAGTGGCGATGGCTGACGTCCCACCGATGAGAAGAACACGGTTATTTACGAGTCTCTCTCGGCAGCCGTTCCTCCACTGAGAGCCTCTGTGCCTGCTCAGCCTGCAGGGAGGGCTGAGGGAGGGCCCCCCGCGCTGTCCAGGGCTGGGGAAGGGTCCCCCATGCTCTCTGGGGCTGAGGAAGGGTCCTCCGCACTGTCCAGGGCTGGGGGAGGGTCCCCCGTGCTCTCTAGGGCTGGGGAAGGGCCCCCCACCCCGTCCCCGCGCTGTCCAGGGCTGGGGAAGGCCTTCCCCACCCCCTGCTGCACTCACCCTTCCCCTGGGAGGGCTTGGTGAGGATCTTGCACCCTCTTGGGCTCCATTGTGCTGCCTGGGGTGGAGTCTGCTGTCTGCTTCTCAGGGGTGCCGTGGCGAGCCCTGCTCCATCTCTCCTGCCAGGGGCCAGGCCTGCCCTCTAGGCTGTGGGTCTCAGCAGCATCGGCTCCAGTTTCTTCCTCCCTAAGAGGCTCAGGCGAGTGTGTGCGGCCCGGCAGCTGAAAAGCAACTGGACGTGTTGGACGTCTGAGGAGCACTGCACCCAGCAGCAGCAGGCTTCCCGTCCTTCTCAAGTGCGTGTGGAGCAGTCTCCAGGACAGACCGTGTGCTAGGCCATCAAACAAGTCTCTGGACGCTGGAAAGGATGCAAGTCACACAGAGTGTGTTCTCTTACTTCGTGACATCAAGTTAGAAGGAAAGTCGAAGAAACTGACAAATACGTGGAAGCTTTGGCACACAACCCTAGACGAAACAATGTGTCAGAGAAGAAATTACATGGAAAATGAGAAATTACAAGGAATGAGAATGAAAATAACAGCATACCGGAACTCAGGATGCCGCGAAGGCCGTGCTCCAGGAGAAATTTACAGTTGTAAGTGACTGTATTAAAAAGAACCTCTCAAAGCATTAACTTTTCAGTTTCAGAGATTGGA